CTCATCCTTTACGTTGAAGCTCAAAGCTTGCTTCTTTTGGAAGCTTGTCTGGACTCCCTCCCTCTTTTGTGCTTTTATATTATTTTGAATATTTTTATCAGGGCATTTATCACAATGTGTTGTAATCTTATGGCTGTCTCCTTCTAGGCTGTCTTTTTTTTCTTATGATTTTATTTTTACATCTTTGGGTCTTTTTAAAAATTAAATTTATTGGGGTGATGTTGGTTAATAAAATTATATAGGTTTCAAGTGTACAATTCTAGGGTCTGTATATTGCATTGTGTACCCACAACCCTACGTTCAATTCTTCTTCTGTCACCATACATTTGACCCCCTTGACCCTTCACTACCCACCCAGCCCCTTCCCTCTGATAAACACCATACTTTTGTCTATGTCTATGAGTTTTTGTTTTTCTTGTTTGTTCATTTGTTGCTTTCAGTTTTATATCCCACATATCAGTGAAATCGTATGGTTTTTAACTTTTTCTATCTGACTTATTTTGTTTAGCATGATATTCTCAAGATTTATCCATGTTGTTGGCAGTGGCAGTATTTCATCTTTTCTTATGGCTGAGTAGTATTCCATTGTATATACTAGTATGTACCACATCTTCTTTATCCAATCATCCACTGATGGCCACTTAGGTCGCTTCCATTTCTTGGCTATTGTAAATAATGCTGCAATGAACATGGGGTGCATATATCTTTGCAAATAAATGTTTTCAGGTTTTTCAGATAGCTACCCAGAAGAGGGGTTTCTGGGTCATATGGTAACTCTATTCTTAATTTTTTGGGAGCCTCCATACTATTTTCCATAGTGGCTGTACCAGTTTACATTCCTGCCAGCAGTGAATGAGGGTTCCTTTTTCTTCATAACCTCTCCAACACTTGTTATTGCTTGTCTTGTTGATAATGGCCATTCTAACAGGTGTGAGGTGGTATCTCATTGTAGTTTTGATTTGCATTTCCCTAATAGCTACTGCAGGTGAGTATCTTTTATATCTGCTGGCCATTTGTATGGTGGACTATGTCTTATTTATCTGTTATCCCCATTCCAATTCAGAGTCTGGCACAGCCTGTCACATAGGAAGTCCTTAATAGATGCTTATTGAGTGAGTACATCATGGCTCTTATGATCTGTCAGTTGATATTTATTGTGTGTTTACTATGTGCAAAGCATGATGTGGGTGCTATATATGCATTTGTATTGAGATAGAGAAATAGAGAGAGGGGGAGAGGGGGAGAGATCTCAAAGACATGGGTCACAGTCCTTTAACAAACAAAATTCTGTGTGAGACAAAGAATTTAAAAGCAAAGGAGAATCAACATTATGCAGAGATACTGGTACATGGTTATGAGAGCTTAGAAGAGAGGAATTGTGTTGGGATGGGAAGGAGGCATCCCAGAACAGGTAGCACATGAAAGGATTTAGACAGATGTGGAAACAGTGGAGGCGTGGGGGCATCCAGGCTTAGGAAACCGTCTGAACAAAGCAATGAAGATGAGGATAGCAATTTCCTTGGGGGGAAAAGGAAATTTCTCACCATAACTGGAGAGGCTGCACACTTTTTAAAAAATTGGAAATAAATCCCATTAATATCAATAAATGCATTTTCCCTGGTTGCCTATATTTGTATCCTCTAAGCAGGAGTGATGGTTAATCATCTCCAAATTGCTCAGGGATATGAAGCAGAGTGCTCATCAGTCTTTAGCAGCAGGGCATGCTTGTTGCAAATAAACTATTTACTACTTACTTTGTGAGCATCATTTCTGATGTGACAGCACAGCAGATAACAGTGATAGTAGGTGTTAGCTCAGTCTTAGCAGAAACACAAAAATGTTCATAAGAGGAAGCCATTTCCTGTTGCAAACGAAGTTTTAATGAGACTTTCAAAATATCTAGAGACTTTGACCCTGACCGGTTTGACTCAGTGGATAGAGCGTCGGCCTGCGGACTGAAGGGTCCCAGGTTCGATTCCGGTCAAGGGCATGTACCTTGGTTGCAGGCACATCCCCAGTGGGAGGGGTGTAGGAGGCAGCTGATTGATGTTTCTCTCTCATCGATGTTTCTAGCTCTCTATCCCTCTCCCTTCCTCTCTGTAAAAAATCAATAAAATATATTTTAAAAAAATGTTTAGAGACTTTCAAAATATCTCCAGAAAACACAGTTGGTTAATACTTTACAAGTGTATTATTATTATTTTTAGTTAATCCTCACTGGAGGATATATATATATATATATATATATATATAATGTTTCATATATATATATATATATATATATATATATATATATGAAAGTGGATGTAGTGGGAGGGGGGAAAGGGAAGAGAGGAAAGAAAGAAACATTGATGTGAGAGAGCCACATCAATTGGTTGCCTCCCACACTCATCCAGACTGGGCAGGGAACCTGCAACCCAGGTACATGCTCTTGACTGGAATTGAACCTGAAACCCTTAGGTTTGCAGGCTGACACTCTAACCACTGAGCAATGCCACCCAGGGCTACAAGTATATTTTTATTTTTTTTAAAATATATTTTATTCATTTTTTTACAGAGAGGAAGGGAGAGGGATAGAGAGTTAGAAACATCTACGAGAGAGAAACATCGATCAGCTGCCTCCTGCACACCCCCTACTGGGGATGTGCCCGCAACCAAGGTACATGCCCTTGACAGGAATCGAACCTGGGACCCTTCAGTCTGCAGGCTGACGCTCTATCCACTGAGCCAAACCAGTTAGGGCTACAAGTATATTTTTTAAATAAAAAGAAACAATCTGAAAATTTATTCACCCCTTTGCATTCTTTTGTGGAAATAAAATACTTAAAATCAGATGCAAATGCTATAAAGGAACCAACCAGAAACTGTGCATGGTCAGTTTCTAATTTTAGGAGAGAAGGCTTTTAATTTGCTGAGTTTATATAATATGTGGCAGCAATGAGCAGTTTAAAGATAGAAACTATAGTTTATATTGAAAAGTTTTAAACTTTACTTGGGGATCCACCATTAGCAACAATACTTATGAAGTTCCTTATTATTACAATATGGATTTTATAACACGAGGCCTGTTAAAGCAGTATTATGTAGACGTACTTCCTGCATTCTGGACGTTGCTGGCTTCATGCATTCAGGGACTTCAGCATCAGAATAAAGATAATCAACCAACAATGGTCTCTTGCATTTCTTTTTCTCCTTACTCTTGGTAAGTCAACATTCATTTTTCAGTTTTTCATAACCCAGGGATGTAAAGAGCATGAAAAATGATCCTCACTTTTCAGATGAGGAAACCACAAGGCAGAAATAGTAAACGAATTGTTCACACACACAGCTGGTTATTTCCAGAGAAAGAAACAAAACCCTTGCCTTCTGTCTTCTTGTCTATTGCTACAATATTGTGCTCAAGATTAAATTTACCTCCTGTAGCATGTAGAGATGGGGAGCGAGAATAAATATCTGATTGCCATGGAGATCAATATAGGGAAGAATGACAATTCTATGATAGATGGGAATGACTCGGAGGAAGAATGCCTCACCTTTAGGGCTAAAATTTTGATTTAAAATCTCCAAGTCCTTCATAGCAAACCGATAGCATCACATAGCCAAGGCAGGAGACAATAACAACCATAATCACAATGAACATCTCTAGAGTGCTTGATCTGTACCAGATACTGTGTTAAGAGCTTTATACGCATCATGTCCTTTAACAGCAACCCCATGAGGAAGGTGCCAATACTGTTGCTGTGTTACAGGTGAGGAAATGGAAGGTTAAGTAGTTTGTGACGGTCTTACAACTAATAAGCCACGGAGCTAAGAACTGAACCCAAGCAGTCTGCCTCCAAAACCTGTGTGTTTGTGCTACATTATTCCAACTCCTAGGTGCCAACTGTAATGTTTGTGGGGTGAGGGAATAGGGAGTGTGCAGGAGTGCAGTTGAATCTGACCCTGAAGACTGAGTTCAGTGTTAGATAACATCTGAGAAGGCACAACCCACAGGGGAAGCTCTCAGTCATAGAAACCTGGAGCCAACCCCCAGTGCTGGGTCTCAACCATCAGTTCTGTAGGCAGGCAAGGGAAGGGCATCAGTATGTCAAGGACCAGACTGGTTCTATGATTTTTCCACCTCTGTTTCCCTCTTGTTCTTCAGAAGTTTATTTCTGCTTTTTTGGGGGTGGGGTGGGGTGTGGGGGGAGTTTCATTTCAGGGGTAATTTTCTAGATCTTGATGTGACTGCCAGAAGAATTAAATTTTCAGCCTCTTGAATCTTCGGCATATTTTCTACCTCTCAGAAGATTCACTGCTTCTGATGAGACAAAGAAAATATTTGTTAAACATGGACTGAATGTTTGTGTTCCTCCAAAATGTACATGTTGAAACCCCAATCCCAACGTGATGGTATTTGAAGGTGAGGCCTTTGGGAGGTAGTAATTAGGTCCTGGAAGTGGAGCCTTCAGACGGTGAGTGACCCTATTAGAAGAGGCAGCAGAGGTAGCTAGCTCTCTTTCCTGCCATGTGAGGACATGAGAAGTCAGCTGTCTGCAACCTGGACTCCATCCTAGTGGCACCCTAATCTCGGATTTCCAGCCTTCAGCACAGTGAGAAATTTCTGTGGTTGGTAAGCCAACCAGTCTGTAGTATTTTGTGTTAGCAGCCCGAACTGACTCAGACAATGGACTATGGAGAACCTTCCCTCTCCATGCAGTGCCTTCTGTTCACCCCCACCTCCTGCCTCTGTTCTCAGAGCTTATTGAGAAGCGAAGCTGAGCTGTGTTCTCCCCCCCCCCCCCCCGCCCAAGAACCCATCATTTACTCTCTAGGGGCCTGACCCATTCCTAGTGAATCTCAAAAGAAATGCTATACAGCGGCCCTTTGAAATGAAATGCTTTTCTATTGAACCAGAAAATAATTGCATCCTCCCATTTACTCTTTAGGGTACAAATTGATCTGACTTGATTTGTCAGAGAGCCAGACCTGCAGGCAAGTAGACGCAGGAGAAATCAACCAATCCTTTAAGCCAGCAGTAATTGTTCCTCCTGTCAGCTGGCTAAATGACTTGTATCTGGAGGAGATGCTCCGAATGAATCAGAATGCCCGAGGTGACAGAAACACAGAGCATTCCAAAGTGGGTTCTAGCAGAGTAAGTGTTTCTTCATGTTTTACAAGGGTTTGGTTTCATGTTTTCCACCTTTCTCTCTTATCTTGTCTCCTGGGGCTAGTGTCGTCGGGCAGAAACCAAAGGCGAAGCATGTGTGTAATGGCGAGGAAAAATAGCTTGAGTGGGGATGAGGAGAGATGAGTATTAGCATTTAATCTGAGGATGTGCTTACTTGTTTCTTGTCATTAATCAACCCAGGTAGTTCCTACAGAATAGGCACGACAGCAGAGGGAGTGAAGTCCCTTTGCTGGTGAGCTGTCCATAATTTTTAAATAATAATAAAAAAGTAAATAATTTAAACATAAAACTGTGAAAAGGAATATAATTGATACTTATGCACCAACCAAAATATTAAGAGTTGCCATTTTGCCATATTAGCACTGGTTCCCTCCGTTGCCTTCTTTCTGCTTTTCTTAGAAATAAAATGTTGCAGTATAGCTAAATCTCCATATTTCTACCCCACTATTTATTCCTTTCTCTTTCTGTCCAGAGAGAACTGCTACCATAGCATTAGAATTTATCTTCCTTGTTCGTTAAAATTCCTTTTACTATGTAGACATATATTCAGAAAGAATATGTAGTACTTTTGGGGGAGGTGGGCTTTTAATTTTAACTCTAGTAGTATACTAGTATTCTACATGTATCCTTTTAAAACTTTATCACATTGGACGTTATGTTGTGACTTACCCATGTTGATACTAATAGATCTCATTCAATTATTTTAACTGCTGCATCATACTGCTTTGGATGAATAACTGAAAATGTATTTCACTCTACCCTATTGATAAACATGTTTTTCAAGGCTATAAGTTATGCTGCAACACATATTCTTGTTGAGGTCTCCTTAGGCACCTGTATGAGGTTTTCCTTTCTGAGTCTACACTTACTAGTAAGAATAGAATTATTGAGTTACAGGTAAACTTTCCTTCAATCTTGCTAGCTTTTGCCAAATTATTAAACTGTACATTTAAAAATAGTTTATAGCATTCCATTAATGGTTAGACTAGAAAGGAATAAGTTGTAGAAGACCAATAGCAACAAGATGTTATAAAAAAATCTAATTGAATCAGGCAAATTGTGTCTATTTCCTGTAACCAGGCCCATGATACCCGTGGTTGTATTTCCCTTCTTGAAATAAGAATATAATGCAATCTCTAGACTACTTGAGGTGAAATAGTGCCTGGGCCAGCATCTCTAGATTATTCCACCATACACGGACAAAAGGCGGGTAAGCTGGATGTGCGGTCTAACTTATCCCTCTGAGCTCCAAACGTTCATTCCATAGCTTTAGCTTCAAACTTAGTTGAAATATACACCCAAGTTGGGAAAGTAGCTTCATTTTTCAAATAACCTAAAACTCCGTGAGAAAACCAGCTCTTGAAAAATGAAGAATGTGCAAAGCAGCTGGATGCTATCGCAACGTGGTGTGGGTCATGGGGATCTCTGCCACCAGAAAGAGAAACGGAAAAAGACATTTCATGGTGTCACCAGTTTGTGCGTACATGTTTGGACACATTCACGCTGATGCTTAGACAGATGTCTTTCTGCTTAGGCTGAACCTCTGACACCTTCCCCCTGGGCCTCCTTTAGTTATCTCAGAGCGTCCTTAAGGTGTTGGCATGTCACACGTGCTCAGAAACAGTTTGCCTCATGTTCTGGGCCTCCTTTGTCAGGGGACTTTATCCCTATGTTGGATGACTGAGCCCTCAGGGATAATGGGACCCCATGAAACACATCTACAGTCTTTTCTTCTTAGGAAGCGCGAGGTGCTTTGTGTGCCTGGCAGTGAGAAGGCTAAAAGGCTAATTCCAATGTAACCCTGATGTTTGGGGGGCTAGCAGTAACCTAATGTACATTCTTGATAAACTATAATTAAGTCACTGCCCCTTTCTCCACAATCTGGTCTTGCAAGACCTGTTACCTAAATGCTCACATTTTACAGAGGCCATAAGCCATGAACAATACACAACCCCCGGAGGGGGTTATCAGTGCTGGCTCCAGGCCAGGCCCTTAGATATGGTCTCAAGGCCCACACCCCAACACACGGGGCTTTTAGCAAAGCCCATGAAAGGTCCGGAAGTCCCATCCATTTTTGGGGGACAAAGAAACCAAAGGGGATAAAAGAAGAGCTTCCACCATATTGGTTTGCTCAGACTTTGGAGGCAACTCCTCTGAGACTGCTAGTGTAATAAAGCTGTGTAACTCCATTTCTCTAAGCGTTGCTTGGGTTTCTTCAGTCTTCTACAACAGCAGAGCTGGCCAGGGTGAGGAAGGGAACCCTGTTGCCAGCTCTATCCCTGGGCTCCAAAGCAGCTGTGTGCCTAGATTTCCCCAAGGCCTTCCTTCAGCTTCTGGTGTAATTCCTCTTTTCTTTGAGATTCATCATCAGTCCTTTGTGATGGGGTTGAGGTCAGGGTGGGGGGAAAACATTACTCCATCCTCACCCATTGTCATCCTGTTTTCCCTTCTCTCCCTCTAGGCACCCCATATCAGGACTACCCAACTTTGTCCAAAGGCCTCAGGCATAACACTTCATGCAGTGGGGAGATGTGACCTAACTCCAGTAGCTGCAAACATATCTAAGTCCGCCCCGCCCCCCATAGTTCAAGCAAGGCACCCTGTTACAATAGAGTCACTAAGGTGTGAAAGAGGCCCTTCATTGTTTTCCTCACATGGCAAACCAGCAACAAAAGCACATGCAGAAACCAGACTTATTATAAATGGAGCGCGGAGCTGTGATAGAAGGAAAAGCTTTATAGAGGCTTAATCAACTCCTCCCCTCCCCCGCCCCCTACTAACATTTCTTTTTTTTAAATATATTTTGTATTGATTTCAGAGAGGAAGGGAGAGGGAGAGCTAGAAACATCAATGATAGAAACATCAATGATGAGAGAGAATCATTGATAGGCTGCCTCCTGCACGCTCCCTACTGGAGATTGAGCCCACAACCCGGGCATGTCCCCTGACCGGGAAACGAACCGTGACCTTGGATTCCTAGGTTGATGCTCGACCCCTGAGCCACACCAGTCAGGCACTACTAACATGTTTGAAGAGTTTTTAGATGTTACCTAGTTTGCCATCCTATCTACCTCTGTTATCTACTGTTGTGTAACAAACCACCTCAAATTGTAGAGATAAAAAACAACAGAAATTTCTCACAATTATTTGGGTTGGCTGAGTGGTTCCTCTGCTATTTTATTTTTATTTTTAAAAAATCTTTATTGAAAGTATTACATATGTCCCCCTCGTCCCCCATTGACCTCTTCTAGCCCTCTACCCACTCCTGCCCAGGCCTTCATCATCTGCTATTTTCACCTGGACTGGTGTGTGTGTGTGTGTGTGTGTGTGTGTTGGCGGGGGGCGGGGGTGGGGGGGATCCAACATGGCCTCATTCACTGGTCTGGTAGTGGTACTGACTGTCAGCTGGGGTGCCTTGTTCATCTCATGCAGCCTCTCATCCTAGTTGGCTAGACTGGGTTCCTTACATGGTGTTCTCAGGGCAGCATTTCAAGAGGGAAGAAGCTGCAAGGTCTCTTGGAACTGGGCTCTGGAACTTATACAACATTTCTGCCACATTTTACTGGTGAAGACAAGTCACAGGGCCAGCCTAGATTCAAGGTGGAGAAGTGAACTCCACCCCTTGATGGGAGTTGTTACAAAATACTGTGGCCGTATTTTCAATCTACTATACCACTCAATCCCTGCTACAGCATGTGTGATATTGTTCTACTTGAATAAGGCTGATGAAGGAGTCCTTACTTTTTTGAGGCAATCTGCTTTATATTGACCACCATCTCCCCATAGAGGAATACTCCCTTGGTTCAAAATCAGCATCAGGGTGGCCAACTTCCTTATCCAGTACCGGGGAAGTAAAATGTTTAGTGGGATGAGTAAAAAATTTACATTTAGGACACATAGATGAAATAACTATTTTGCGTGTGTCTAAGTTGTATTTGAGCTAGGTGTGCCTTTTATGGGATGCAACCTCATGCTGAAGGGCTAAACTGGGCCAGCGTGGGGCTGAGGGGAAATAAAACTAATGAACTGATTGGCCTGTTTCTGGCTTGGACTTTAAGGGAGAAGGATAAAGGGGGCATTTGAGGTTTCCAAGCTGTTCAGCTTAGTTCATTAGAGCAAGAGAGCAGAGAATTTAGCTGGGGAAAGAGCTCTAGACAGAAAGAGTGTATCCAGAGCTGTATATCTCAGGAAATTACGTTATTATACGTAGCTGGGTGGCATGAAGATCCATGGGAGGTGAGAGGATGTGAACATAGTTTTTGTCTAGTGCCTTCTTACAGTGTTCCTTGGATCACCAGGAGAACCTTGTCCTGCCCTTTAACTACTGAATCAGAATCTGAATTTTAAAAAGATCTCTGAGTAACTCATATGCTTGTTAAAGTTTGAGAAGTATTGGCCTAGAGAGCCTTCCTGATACTATGGCACCATACCCCTTGGGAGGCCCCACATAAAGCAGGCCTTTCTTCTAATAAAGACCTGTGTTTGGTACCACCTAAGGCTTTCTGAGAGAAAAGAGGTCCCAGCTTCACTGTCTGTGGGCACCCACAGTCTATAACCCCCTTTTCAAAGCAGGGGTTCTTAGCCATTTTTAAAAACAGTCTTATCCTATATAATAAAGAGGTAATATGCAAATTGACCATCACTCCAACATACAAGATGGCCACCCCCATGTGGACACAAGATGGCTGGCAGGGGAGGGCAGTTGAGAGGGACCAGGCCTGCAGGGGAGGGCAGTTAGGGGTGACCAGGCTGGCAGGGGATGGCAGTGAGGGGTGACCAGGCTGGCAGGGGAGGGAATTTAGGGGCAATTGGGCCAGCAGGGGAGCAGTTAGGTGTCAATCAGGATGGCAGGGGAGTGGTTAGGGAGTGATCAGGCTGGCAGGCAGAAGCAGTTAGGGGCAATCAGGCAGGCAGGCAGGCAGGCAGGCAGGCGAGCGGTTGGGAGCCAGCAGTCCTGGATTGTG